TGAAGGTAGGGGGATGGATACTCTATATCAGGAGAAAAAGTTGTCCATTCTTTATCTGATCAGGAGAAAAAGTTGTCCATTCTTTATCTGATCAGGAAAAAAAGTTGTCCATTCTTTATCTGATCAGGAAAAAAAGTTGTCCATTCTTTTATTTTTGAAAATTGATTACATTCATCTTGATGTGGCAAATTTAGTTTTTTTGATAGTTCGTACGCAGAATTTCTTTATAGTCGGGATAAAAAACAGAACAAAAGGCAAAATTCATTTATCTGAAAAAAACTTTTTATTTTTTTTTTTTATTTTATTCCACAAAACATTGTAAAGGGAAAAAAATTATTATGTCTTTTATACTGCAGTGTACTGTCTCTGGGCGGTAAGGTAAACAAAAGACGACTGTTACAGTCTGACATAAGATCCATCTTTCACATAAAAAATCAATGAAATATTCTGGTCATAGGAAACTATTATGTGAATTATAAAAATTATCAAAATTAAATACTTTTATCCTCCTCGGATACTAGATGCATCTATTCTTGTTTACAAACACCGCAAAGAGAGAACTGGTTTCAATATGTGAGCAGAGAATACGCAACAGCAAATAACTTTCCTTGCCTTATTACATTGGTACAGGGTACCCACAAAGAATGAGACAAAGAGATGAAATATTTCTTATTTTATAAAAATATTCTTGTTGCTGTGCAGAAATATATTATTATAGATTATGTGCTTAGAATAAATAATGTATTTTTCATTATGCCAAAGCATGAACATTGAACATAAAATGTAGTTAAGATAAGTAGTTTTTATTATTATTTCTTACATGGAGGATAAAGATAACTAGAAGTAAACAATTATAAAATTATACATTTCTGCAATTATTTGGTAATTCTTTAAACGATTGTACGCAACATATTATTTAACCTCCTTGTAATACTGAACTTCGGTTTGTCCACAGAACAGTTAGTATAGAACCATTACTGACGCATATCGGTTTATCCACAGAACAGTTAATATAGAACCATTACTGACGCATATCTGTTTATCCACAGAATAGTTAGTATAGAACCATAACTGACGCATATCTGTTTATCCATAGAACAGTTAGTATAGAACCATCACTGACGCATATCGGTTTATCCACAGAACAGTTAATATAGAACCATCACTGATGCGTATCGGTTTATCCACAGAATAGTTAGTATAGAACCATCACTGACGCGTAACAGTTTATCCACAGAAAAGTTAGTATAGAACCATCACTGACGCATATCTGTTTATCCATAGAACAGTTAGTATAGAACCATCATTGACCCGTATCTGTTTATCCACAGAATAGTTAGTATAGAACCATCACTGACCCGTATCTGTTTATCCATAGAACAGTTAGTATAGAACCATCACTGACGACGCATATCGGTTTATCCACAGAACAGTTAGTATAGAACCATCACTGACCCGTATCTGTTTATCCATAGAACAGTTAGTATAGAACCATCACTGACGCGTATCGGTTTATCCACAGAACAGTTAGTATAGAACCATCACTGACGCGTATCGGTTTATCCACAGAACAGTTAGTATAGAACCATCACTGACCCGTATCGGTTTATCCACAGAACAGTTAGTATAGAACCATCACTGACGCGTATCGGTTTATCGGAAGTAGTGCCCTTTGCCGGCAACTATAGTGAGAACCAGAAAACTGTGAAATAAGAAGACGATATTAAAGCAATAAATAAGTGTATTTGATGTTGTTAAAAAACGAATAGTTTTTGTAGTCGCTAGTTATATCACTTTTATGTGAAATTGGTTTGTTTTGAATGCAAGTTCTCCAATAAACATATGAAATGTACTTTTCATTTCATTGATTTTTTATGTAAAAGATGGATCCCATGTCAGGTTTCGACAACCGTCTTGTGTTTACATTACCGCCCAAAGACAGTACACTGCAATACAAAAGATGCTTACACCTCTGAAATAACCTTCCTTTCATTATAACCTTGAATAAACTAATCATAAATCGATTAGTT